GCTGTTGCTGTTCGTCCGCGTCCCTTTTCTCCCCCTCCTCCTCCTGCCCACGCGCCACATCCTCCTCCTCCTCCTCCTCCTCCTCCCTCCTCCTCCTCCTCTCCTCTCTCTCCTCCTCCTCCTCCTCCCTCCTCTCTCCTTCTCTCCTCCCCTCCTCCTCCTCCCTCCTCCGCCTCCTCCCTCCTCCCTCCTCCCTCCTCCCTCCTCCCTCCTCCCTCCTCCTCTCTCTCCCCCTCCTCCCTCTCCCTCCTCCTCCCTCCCTCCCCCTCCTCCCTCCTCCCTCCTCCCTCCTCCCTCCTCCCTCCTCCCTCCTCCCCCTCCTCCTCCTCCTCCTCCTCCGCCTCCCTCCTCCCTCCTCCCTCCTCCCTCCTCCCCCCTCCTCCTCCTCCTCCCCTCCTCCTCCTCCTCCTCCTCCTCCTCCTCCTCTCCTCCTCCCCTCCTCCCCCTACCTCCTCCATCCTCTCTCCTCCTCCTCCTCCTCTCCTCCTCCCCCTCCTCTATCCTCCGTCTTCCTCCGTCCGTCTCCTCTCTCCTCAGTCCTCCTCCTCCTCCTCCTCCTCCTCCTCCTCCTCCTCCTCCTCACCCCCTCGATAAGTTCGCATAGCACGAGGTGTTTCTGCTGTTGGATTGCAGGTCGGCGACCACACGCGTCCGCGGATAGAGAAAAAATGCGCAACGTGGCGCGCGCGCGCACCTGGCCTTTCCTCCCCCCTCTCCATCCCCCCCTCCTCCTCTTCCCCTCTCCTCCTTCCCTTCTTTCTCCTTCCCCTCCTCCTCCTCCTCCTCCTCCTCCTCCTTCCCTCTCCTTCCCTTCCCCCCCTCCTCCTTCTCCTTCCTTCTTCTCCTTCCCCCCCTCCTCCTCCTCCTCCTCCTCCTCCTCCTCCTCCTCCTCCTCCTCCTCCTCCTCCTCCCTCCTCCTTCCCTTCCCTCTCGGCGCGGCTGGGGCAGGGCGAGCTCTCGACTGACCGCGTGGCCGTGGACGGGCCCCGGCGTCTTCCGAGAGGCCGACCACCGAGCCTGGGCGGCAAGGCCTCGGGAAGGAGAGGAGGGAGCACGAGGCACTGTGGGAGGAGAGGGGCCAGGGAGGACGGAGAGGACGGAGAGCAGGAAGGAGGAGAGGGGAGGGGCGAGGATCGAGGAGAAGGTGCACCATGGGGGGATTAGAGAGGAGGAGGGGGAGGAGGGAGGAGAAAGCACGATGGGAGGAGGGAGAAGAGGCATGACAACGCCTCAGGTGATTGCCAGCAGCTGGGAGCCGGGCCAAACTATCATCAGAGGACTTGCGGGGCGCCAGACGTCATGTGCGAAAGTGAATACCGCACCATCCGTCCGCCTGACATCCGCTGATCCCACTTGCCAGGGATGGCAGGGCGCGCGAGACGCTGGCTGCCCTTCTTCTCCCTTTTCCAACACCTCCCAGGAAGTCCAGAATCAGGTTTCCTGAAGGGGGGGGCTCGTCAACGCATCTCCCGAACGCTGAGGCCCCCAAGATGGCCGACTATGGCCCCAACGTGGCCGAAGATGTCCCGAGGTGGGCTTCAAGAGTGCCTTATACGGCAGAGGATCGACTGGGAGAAGGAGGTACAGGTGAGGGAGAGGAATGGGGAGGAGAAGGCGGGGAGAAAGGCCGCAGGAGCGAAGGCGACCGGAAGAAAGTAACAGGGAGGAGAGAGGGAAGGGAGGAAAGGAGAGGGGGCAAAACAAAACATGGGAACGCGGCACGCAGTGCACTCCCCCGCCTGGGAAAAGAAAGCACGCCCCCTCGCCACTGCACCACCGCCCGAGTTTACGTGGGACAAGGGGGGGGACAGCATTGCCCGTTCTGACGGCGTTGGCCAGGGGGGTGCAGGTAGTGGTAGTGGGGGCGGTCGTGATGGCGATGCCGATGGTAAACTTCCAGCTGGGCAACGAACTCACCACCTGCATGTGAATATGCCTACAAAGAGATGCGGCAACCAACTCGATGCCGCCACGCCAACGGCAAGCGCGGCAGAAGAGGCCAGGCAAGATACAAGGCGAGGAGCTTGAAATGACTGCGGACTGCTACCACCCGGTCAGCCTGCCTTCTCGTCCGTCTGCTCATCTCGCTCTCGCTCGTACACACGCTCGGCAGCACGATGCTCTGCGCAGGCTGGCACTCTCATCCGATTTGGGCGATGGGAGCTGTCAAGCCTAAACCTGCAGACCTTGCACAGACCCCAGGGACGGGTCGGTGACATGCCGACTGATCGACAACAGAACGAACGAACAAAAGACCCGGGAGGTACAGAGGCGCAGCCGAGACGAAAGACGGCGGGAAGGGTGGGCAAGCAGGCCAGCACCATAGAGGCCTCCTATATGGGGTTGGAGTAGATGTGGTCGGAGGATCGTGCACCGGCGGTGCATCGTCGACGTCGGCGACGTCGACGTGGCGCACATCGGGCTCCACATCCAGCCGCATCGGCGATGCGTCGCCGATACGGCCCGATCCTCCGACCCCATCTACTCCGACCCCATCTAGGAGGCCTAGAGAATGAGGAAGAGGACCTGGCCCATGGGGTCCAGGATCCAGGTCAAATCCTCCTCCTCCTCCTCCTCCTCCTCCTCCTCCTCCTCCTCCTCCTCCTCCTCCTCCTCCTCCTCCTCCTCCTCCTTGGGGGCAGGCAAGCTCACCGGCCAGCACTCCAGATCCGCCAAGACAGCCCGAAGCAGACAAGCGGGACGCGCAGAGGCACGAGGAGGCAACCCGGAGCGCACGAGGCACGCGCGGCAGCCAGGGCGCGGCCGGCAGCCGCCCCCCAGCAGGGGGCACGCCGCCCCAGGAACAGGAGGAGGAGGAGGAGGAGGAGGAGGAGGAGGAGGAGGAGGAGGAGAGGAGGAGACAGAGGAGGAGGAGGAGGAGGAGGAGGAGGGGAGGAGGAGGAGGAGGAGAGAGGAGGAGGAAGGAGGGAGGAGGGAAAAACAAAAAAAAAAGAGGAGGAGGAGGAGGAGGAGGAGGAGGAAAGAGGCGGAGGAGGAGGAGCCAGGAGGAGGAGGAGGAGCGAGGAGGAGGAGGGAGACATAGGAGGAGGAGGAGGAGGAGGAGGAGGAGGAGGAGGAGGAGGAAGGAGGAGGAGAAGAGGGGAGAAAGAGGAGGAGACAGAGGAGAGGAGGAGGAGGAGCATGAGTGAGGAGAAGGAGGAGGAGAGAAGAAAGATGAGGAGGAGGAGGAGGAGGAGGAGGAGGAGGAGGGGAGGAGGAGGAGTGAGAACGGAGGAGGAGGAGGGGGAGGAAGGAGGAGGAGGAGGAGAAAGAGGAGGAGGAGGAGGAGGAGGAGAAGGAGGAGCAGCCGGCAAGGGCGAGGGGCAGCGAGGGCCGGGCGGCCTGGCCCCGTGGGGCCCGGGGCCTCGCGCGCAGCGACAGGCACGTCGCAGCAGCCGAAGGCAGGCGGGAGCCAGGGCCTCCTCCTCCCTCCTCCCTCCTCCTTCCCTCCTCCTCCTCCTCCCCCCCCCACTCCGCCTCCTCCCTCCCGCCCTCCGCCTCCTCCTCCCCTTCTCCTCCCCTCCTTCTTCTCCTCCTCCTCCTCCTTCTCTCCTCTTTCTTCCATCCTCCCCTCCATTCCTCATCCCGCCCCACGCCGCCGCCTCTCCTCTCCTCCACCCTCCTACTCTCCCTCCTCATCCTCATCCTTTTCCTCCCTCCTCCTCCTCCCTCCTCCTCCTCCTCCTCCTCATCATCAAAAATCCCCTGGACGATTTGTAGCATCTCTTGGCTGCTCCTCATCCTGCTGCTCCTCCTCCTCCTCCTCCTCCTCCTCCTCCTTCTCCTTCTCTTCCTCCTGCTCCATTCCTCCTTGTAGACAACTCCTCCCTGTCGCACCCCGAGGCCAGTTTTTAGAGCGGGCCGGGCGTTTCGCCTGAGCTCCTTAGCGCCGTGCACACTCGTTTTTTAACATTTGCAGTCGGATTGAGGGCGGGTGGATTTCAACATGTGGCTCTCGCCTTAGCGCCGCGCACAAATCGTCTTACAAAAATTACAAGAACTTCACGGATTGAGGGCCGCTCCTTTTCAAAATGTGGCTCTCGCCGTAGCGCCGCGCACATCCGTTTTAAACAGTTGCAAGAGTTTCATGGATTCCCATGATCAACGTATCAAAACTTGTGTTTTGGACGGATTCAAGATTATGCGGGTGCAACAGTCATGTTGGTTCGCAGTGTTGAAATCCAAACAATGGCGTTATGGCACGATTCCGGATCGCCAAGCTACAGCAGTCAGGTTGATACGTGGCGTTATTACCCCGAGAACAATTTTTTGGCATGCTTCAGGATCTTCCGACGGTTGTCTTCAAACGAGGCAGTTCCCTCAATGGAAATGAACCGTTGTAGGGGCCTGTGAAGAGGGAGCTTGGAGGGAGGGTTAATTCCAACATCGTTGATGGCACTTGGGTTTACACTCCTCCTCCTCCTCCTCCTCCTCTCCTCTGGTGGGCAGCGGCCGGAGAGAGGCGCGGCAGCCGAGGGCAAGCCCGAGCAGAGACCCCAGGGGCCACGACGCGACACTCGCGACAGCCAAAAAAAGAGCGGGACGGGGGGACCCCCACGGGCGGGGACCGGGCACACTGACGCGGCAGACAGGTCGAGCGGAAACAGGGCGCTCTGTAGCAACAGCCGAAGCAAGCGGAACCCACGGGCCCAGGAACCCTGGGGCGGCGATGCGAACATCGCAGCGGCCAGAGCAAGCGGGACACGGGACCTTACGGCGGAGGCGATGGGCGAGCCGCGCCAACCAGAGCAAGCGGGGCCCAGGGACCCAGAAGCACTAAAACAACGAGGCGCAAACATCGCACGACGGCGCGCGCGAGCGGGACCCGCCGGGCCTTCAAGGGAGGGGCGGCGGCCGAAAAAGAGACGCCGCGGCAGCCACGGCGAGCGGGATCCGGGGAGCCCTCTTCGGACGGCGACAGGAGGCCTCCAGCGCGGAGGAGCTTGGAGTCCCGAAACGGTGGCGGCGGCAGGCCGTGCGGTGACCTCTCGATACCCCCCCAAAAGCCTCAGCGCACGGTCTGTCGCCGCACGGTCTCTTGGGACCCCGGAGGCCCCCGTCGCCCGAGACGTCCTCGGAGAGGGCCTCGAGTCCCAAAACTGCGCGGGGACCCCGAAGCCCCACCGACTCACCACACGGTGTGGGCGCCCCTTCCACTCAACTACGGCGTTGCTGAATTTCGCGTTGGCTGGCGCGCTTGAGGGGGAGGGCCCGGGGAAAGGGGGGGAACGGCGACGGCGACGACGACGACGACGACGACGAACGGAGAGCGTCTTCCACACGCCGGCACCTCGAATACCGCAGATATGCGTCCAAGTTTACACGCTTGACGCACTCACTGCTGGCGCCGAAGATCCCTCGACCTTGCTGGCGAACTAATGCTCCCGTCAGCGGCCTGCTGACGTGCAAGGCCATCAACTTGGAGAGGCAGGAGGAGAGTGAAGGACACATGCTTACCAGCGTGGACCCCAAAATGTAAGTTATTGCACTGTGAATGTTCAAGCTCTGTGGTGCAATAAATGTGTTCCTAGTGCAGTCCATGTGGTGGAAGCTACGCGGTGCAAGCTATGTGGTGCAAGCCCTGATGCGACACATGCAGCGCAATCCATGTGGCGGCAAGCTGTGCGGTGCAGGCCACGAGGTGAAGGCTGCTCGGTGCAGGCTGCGCGGTGCAGTCCGTTTGGCGCAGGCTGCGCGGTGCGAGAAGCTCTGCGGTGCAAGCTGCGTGGTGCAAGCGAGCCGCCTGGCGAGAACTGCGCGGTGCCAACCGCACGGCCGCCCGCTGCACGAGGCGCCCACGAGGCGCCGACGCGCGGGCACGCCGCGGAACGTCGGCACACCCGCCCAGCGCACGAGGCTCCGACGAGGCGGCCACCTGGCTTGGGCGTGGCTTAATGGGGGGGTCACAAATGGGGGGGTCAAAAAAGGGCCCCTTATCGTGCCCCTTTCGGGCCCCTCCAGAGCCCCAGGGGGCTCGTTTAGGTACCATTCGGGTACCTTTTCGGACCACACTCGCCGCCCCCCCACTTACGATCCCCCCATTACGCAGCGCCCAACCTGGCGATCACGGGCGGGCGCCGGGCGAACCCTCGGCATCCTCCTCCTCCTCCTCCTCCTCCTCCTCCTCCTCCTCCTCCTCCCCTTCCTCCCCCTCCTCCTCCTCCTCCTCCTCTTCCTCCTCCTCCTCCTCCTCCTCCCTCCTCCTCCTCCTCCTCCTCCTCCTCCCTTCCTCTCCGTCTCCCTATGTCTCTTCCTCGCCTTTCCTCCCGTCCCGTTCTTTCATGGCTCCCAACCATTCGCCCCCTCCACACCGCCCAGCGCACGAAGCGCCCACGAGGCGGCCACGAGCGCCAGGCGGGCACGAGGGCACAGGGCGAAAGCCAGGCACGCCCTCTCCCAGCACGAGGGGCGTCGCTTGAGCTCTGGGGAGGGCGCCCACCAGGCGGGCCCCAGGCGGAACCCCGGCACGCGCAGCCGATACCACAGGAGAGTCGAGCGAAGTCCTCCACGGTACGGCACTCACTTTTTGGGGAAAGCTGGCCCTTCGAGCTCTGTCTCCTTCCCCCTGTGGCAAAAAGACGGACGTGCTCGGTACGCGTCGAGAGAGATACTCGACCGACACCGACTTCTCTCATCGCACGGATGGAAACAGATGAGCACATGGAAAATACTTCTGGAACCAAGCTCAGCCTACCTTGAGGCCACGTGGTCAGCCTGCAATTGTGATGAAGGCTACTGCGAGGCGAGGCGTCGAAAGCAATCCTAGTATTGGATGCGGCATATTCTGTAGGGTAGGCGCCGAGAAACAAATATCCGAATCATTATAGACTTGGAAGTGCAGCGGTCCGTCGTGGACAATGCACCAGACACAGCGCACGGGCGCTCCTACGTCATTCACTCAAGGCAGTGGTCCAACCTTGCACCGAACAGGTTGAAAACGACCTTAGGCCCTGGCTGGCAGGCCCCGGCATACCCTGCCCCCCCAGGCAAGTAATTCCCAGCAGCCTGGGCCCGCCCCAGAATCCCGTGATACCCCCCACCACGCTCATTACCCGTCGGTCGGAAGAAGTGGGTAAAAACATGAAGTAGGAAGGCGGATGAAGTAGATCGGGTTCAGGCCCTCCCAGAGAATAACGAGCCACAGCAAAAGCATATCGATTCTTGAAATAGGATCGGCGTGTACCAGCAGCAGTGACAGCAGCTGATGACCCTACTGCGCACGCCCCGCTCCTCCGCCCCGACTCCCCTTCTGGTCTCTTTGCGGCAGTTGGCGGGTGCTGCTGCGGCTCTCCTGTGGCCGTCGCGGGGCGGGGCAGGGGGGAGCGCCATCCAGGGCACCAGTGGGGGCCTTTCGAGCGTTCGGGGGGGATTATGGGAACCCCCGTGGGGCAGCTCCAGGCACTATGGAGCCACCTTGGGGCAGGGCAGGCTGTGCCCAGGTGCCTCCGCAGGCTCCCCCACAGGATCCCCTTTTCCGACATCCTCCGCCTCCCTCTCTGCGCTCTTCCCTCTCCGCCTGTCCTTTGACCCTGTCCATCACGTCTCGTCCGCTCATGCCCCTGTGCCCCCCCCACTGCGGGGCTCTGGCGGACGTGGCGGACGTGTTCCGGAAGGCGCTGGGTTTCATGTTCAGGCAACACTGGTGTGCACTCGTGGGGAAGTTCTTGTGCTGGTGGGAGGGGAGGAGAGTCGCGGGGATGAGCTGTGGCCCTCGCGGAGCAGCGGCGGTTGTGCACACTGGAGCGCTCTTGAGCGTTAGGGGGGCGGCCTTGGCTCCCTGTGATGGTCTTTTGTGGGCTCCCCGGGCCTGCCGCGAGTCCCCAGGGAGGCTTGCCAGCGCCATCTTGGCCCCACTGAGGCCGTCTTGGGGTCCTGCTGGCATCTCGGCGTCGTATTAAGATCTCTTGGGGCTCTTTCGGCCCGCTGGAGAGCCTCTCAGGGGCCCTCTGGAGCCGTGGCGGGGCAATCTTGGAGGCCTGCAGGGCCCTTGTGGACGCTCTACCAGCCACAAGAGGGGGAGAACTGTGACATATAACAAAGCAAAATTTTGACGAATCAGCGAAGCCGCTTGCTGGGAGCCCCTGGGGCATCCTCCTGGGGCTTTCTCGGAACGTCTTTGGAGCCTCGTCGATCCTCTTAGTGCCATCTTGGGCCATCTTGGCCGTCTTGCCGCAGACGTCCAGGGACTCTTGGGGCTCTTTTGGAAGCCTCTTGGCTTGCGCTCATCTCTCGGGCCAGCTGGAGGGCTTCGTGGGACCCTGTTGGGCCGGCTTGGGACGATCCTGGAGGCCTGAAACCGTCGCAAACGCCATTCAATCAAAAAGAGGCGAGGACGCCCAAAGCAGAACGCATGCAAAATATCAATGATGCTAGCCTGTCGGAGGCCTCTGTGATGTCCTCCTGGGGCCCTCGGAAAGTTTCTTGCGAGCCTGTGCGACCCTCTTGGAGCCATCGTGGGCTATCTTAAAAACTGTCTTGGCTCTCTTGGAAGCCTCTTGGGTTTGGGGGTCGGATAGAAAACCGTGGGTGGTTCTTTTGGGGCGTCCTGGGGCGATCATGGACGCCTCTTGGGCCGTCGTGGACGCTTCGAAAACAAACATGGAGGGAAACCGGACATCGAAACAGCGAAAATGAATTCTCCTGGTCGGGGCCTCTGGACGTACTCTTGGGGCCCTCTCGGAGCTTCTGGGGAGCCTCTTCTCTGGCCCGGCCATCTCGAAGCCATCTCGGCTTTCCCGACAACGCCCTGTGGTGCCCGCGCCCCCACACACCGTCCCGTGTGCCCCTCCGCAGACGTGGGATCCTCCTGCTGAGCTTTGGGCTCACCAAGGAGCCACTCCCAAGATGCACGTATGTGTGCAGGCACCCACACATCTACATTTGTTTGGGGAGACGAGGCTAGATGGGAAGCCGTCTGTGCAGACGAAATAGAATTCCGAGCCCCCAAGGTCGCCTCAGCCAGCCTGGGTTTGGCAGAGGGCGACGGCGGCGAGGCTAACCTTCCCTCGCAAACGCTTTCGCGGTCTCACCTCATCCCACATATCCGCCAACCCCAGAGGCGTGTGAAATGAAGGGCCAGGTTAGAGACACTACGTCCTGTTCTCTAGCCCCCCACCCAGTAATTTCCGCGCCCCGCACGGCAATTCCTGGTCTGGAACCCACCCTGACCTTCACACTGCCCCTACCACGTCTGACATCCCCAGACCTCCAGCCCATCCCTCGGGATCTCTGCTCTTGGAACCACCCTCCTGGACCTTCTGTGTGTACTGTTTTAGGGACCATGCACCCTACAAAACAAGACGCTGGGTCCCCACACTCCCTCTGACACCCCCACCCTCCTGGACCTTCTGTGTACTGTTTGAAGGACCCTGCACCCTACGCAGCACCCCGCAATTGCGGATAAGAGTGAGGGGGCGGACGCGGGCGTCGAGCCAGCGGACCTCGTGGCCCGCACCTTCCCTGTCGATGGCACCCTCCTCCTCCTCCTCCTCCTCCTCCTGCTCCTCCTCCTCCTCTTCCTCGTCCGCGTCCTCGTCCTCATCGTCGTCGTCGTCGTCCGCCTCCTCCTCCACCTCATCCTCCTCTTCCTCCTTTTCCTGCTCATCCTCCTCTTCCTCCCCCTCTTTCTCCTCCTCCTCCTCCTCCTCCTCTTCCTCCTCCATCCCGATCCTCACCCCTCCTCCTTTCCGTCGTCGTCGTCGTCCTCCTCCTCCTCCTCCTCCCCCTCCTCCTCCCTCCTTTCTCGTCGTCCCCCTCCGTCCCCCCTCCTTTTCCTCCCATTTCCTCCTCGCCCTCGTCGTCGGCCTCCTCTTCGTCCTCGTACTCGTCGTCGTCGTCGTCGTCGTCGTCGTCGTCGTCGTCGTGCTCCTCGCCCTGCTCCTCCTTCCCTCCTCCGCGGCAGCAGGCAACTGGATTGTCAATGAACGTGTTCAGACACAGCCCCGCCGCAGGCGCCGATGTGTTGTTGTAGAGTCAACGTGGGCCCGATCGGGGGAATGGCACGAGAGCGCTTTCACAAACCAATGCGAGCAAACCCGCCGCAAGCGCCGATTTACGTGCTCTGACAAAATCAGCGCGGGGGGGATCGCTGGTGGGCCACCCGGAACGAATGCAAAAGAAGCCCGCCGCAGGCGCCGAATCTTTGGCTTGTTCAGTGAACGTACTTTGGGTCGCGGGTGGGTCGCGGGCTCTCCACCTCCACCTGAAGGAATTCAGAAACAGCCCGCCGCAGGCGCCGAAAATTTGATTTGTACACTGAACGCGGTTTGGGTCGCAGGTTGTCCTCCTGGAACGAATGCAAAAGAAGCCCGCCGCAGGCGCCAAAGTTGTGGCTTGTTCAGTGAATGTAGTTTGGGTCGCGGGTCGGTCGCGGGCTCTCCACCTCCACCTGGAAGGAATTCAAAAACAGCCCGCCGCAGGCGCCGAAAATTTTGATTTGTACACTGAAAGCGGTCTGGGTCGCGGGTGGGTCGCAGGTTCTCCACCTGATACGAATGCAAAAGAAACCCGCCGCAGGCGCCGAAAATTTTGGGTGGGTCGCAGGGTGGGTCGCGGGTGGCTCGCGGGTGGGTCGCGGTGGACCCCCAAGAAGGCCCAGAGACGCCAAGTAAAAGAGCGTTCGGTAACGCAAAAAGTTTTTCACACCAAGGCTCCCAACAGCGAACGGCCTGAGGCCCACACACGGCCCAGTGACGGACACAGCTTTGACACCAAGGTCCCCGCCCCCATACGCACGACGACGTGAAACGTCTGGGGAAGCCTTCACAGGCTTCCCGCCCAGCTCATGCGCCCAGCCCAAGGCTCCCAGTACGAACGGTGGTGTGCGTAATTTCGGTCAAATTGCTGCAGCGCCCTTTCCGTTTCCGTGCCGGCCCCAGGTCTGATGGCCCTAATTTTGACAATTTTCGGCCCAAGACGGCCCAAGTCAGCCCTAAGAGCGCCTCTACCTCCAAGACGGCATCGGAGAGGTCCACGAGGGCCCGAACACGGCCCAGGAACGCTTCAAGAGGGCCTAATAATCATGGCGTTGAGACGGCCCAAGAGACTCCCAAGACGCCGCAGGAGGCCCCCAAGGGAGCCCCCAGGAGGCAAAACATCGCCCCATTCCCTCCGAAAAACGTACGTATTCAGCAGATTAGCTTCTTTGGGCTTCACAGTGTCCAGCCCAGGTGACGGAAAGAGCGGAGCGAGAGACATTTCGTAGGGGGCGAAGCCATTTTGGAGAGGGGGTCCGGCGGAGGGGGCAGGACTGGGCAAATCGGTCTACTGGACAGTTTTCCATAGTTTTTGTTCGAGTGAAGCGGCCCCCGGGCGGCTCCCATGGCCTGCTTCCTCGTATTCTTTAGAATCACGCGGCCCACGGGCCCCAAGACGGCCCAAGAGCTCGGCTCCGAGACGGCCCAAGAGGGCGCGGGGAGGGGAGCAAAGACAAGGAAGGAGGGGAGGAAAGAGGAGCAGGAGGGAACAGAAAAATACGCGATGGGGGGAACGAAGACACGATGGGGAAAGCAAGCGACCCCAAGGGAAAGAACTAAGACTCCGAGGGCACAGAAAGAGACCCCGAGAGGAGGGCGGGGGGGACACCCCGGACCCCACCCCCCCAGCGAGGGGAAGGAAAAAACTCCGAGGGGCAAAAATGAAGAGACCACCCCGAACGACATCCGGTGGGGGGGCCGAACAAAAAACACAGGGGGCGGGGGGAGAACAGAAACGAGCCCGGAGGAGCACGAGGAGGCAGGGGAGGAGGAGGAGGAGGAGGAGGAGGAGGAAGAGGAGGAATGAGCAGCGACGCCGGAGAAGGCAGGGAGGAGCGGCAGGAGGAGACGCGGAGGAGCGGACGGAGCGCAAGGAGGAGACGCGGAGGAGGGGAGGAGGGCAGAGGGGCAGGGCCCCGGGAGGGCGGCGGAGGCGGCGAGGCCTCTCGCGCCGCGCGCCTCGGACGGCCGCGCGCCGCGCCGCGCCCGGCCCTCCTCAGTCGCCGAGCCACAGGCCGTACTCCGGGCGCCCGGCCTCCGCCCACGCGGCGCGCAGCGCCGCCCGGCCCGGCCCGCCGACGCGGTTGTAGGCGAGGTCGAGCTGCCGCAGCTGGGGCAGCGCGCCCGGGGCGCGCAGGGCCTCCGCCAGCCGCGCGGCGCCCTCGTCGCCCACGCGGTTGTAGGCGAGGAGGAGCGTCCGCAGCCGGGGCGCGGCGCCCGAGGCGAGCACGGCGGCCAGCTGCTGCGCCTCCTCGTCCCCCCACTGCAGCCCGCCGTAGTCCAGCGCCACCGCGGCCTCGAAGCGCTGCGCGAAGGCGGAGCGGTAGAGCTCGGCGACCCGGGGCCGGTCGTCCTTGCCGTTGGTGAAGCCCTTGCTCTGCAGCTCCACGTCGAAGGCGTCGGGCAGGAGGGGCGCCCGGCGCCCCGCGCGGCAGGTCTCCGCCAACTCCCGGTAGAGGGTCTCCGCTCCGGTGCATCGGCCGAGGTCCAAGAGCAAGTAAGACGGCTTCGTCAGCATCCCCCAGGAGGACTCGCAGAAGCACCAGCCACGGTTGAAGTACTGCTCCGTGTTGCCCGACCGGGTGTACTTTGCAGCATCGCCGTAATCATCTGGAAACCGCGTCAGCATGAAGACGACAGTGGCGGGGTGGGAGTAGAAGCTCCCCAGGCTCCCCAATGCCTCCTTGAAGAGCGCATGCTCCAGCTCGAAGCGGCCGAGGGCATCGTCCTCGAACGAATCTGAGCCTTCGAGCCGCTGGTAGGTGTGCTGCTGGGGAACGCCCTCGCGGTCCCTGCAGTTTTGATGGATGCAGCAGAAGTCCATGAATACACCCCAGCGGCCACTGAAATGGCCCAGCAGCAGCTGCAGGGCCTGGCCCACGATGCGCAGGTTGTGCCCGCGTGGATCCGGGTGGTTCGCCTGCAGCCAGCAGTGTGATATGCACGCGATGTGCAACAAACCATTACCGGCGGCTGTGACGGCGCTGTGGGGCACGAAGGCCGTCGGCGGCAACGCCTGGCGCGGCTCGAGGACGCCGCCAGTGCGCGCTCGCCTCACCATCCACTCCGCGTCCATCAGGACGACCGCTCCACTGCCGAGCACGGGGTCGAGCTCCAGGCCGCCGCAGCGCTCCCACTTTGCCTCGCAAAGAGGGAGGGGGGGTCAAAAGATGAGGGGGGGTCACGCCGACGAGGGGAAGGGGAAGGGGGGGAAATCGAGAGGGGGGGATGCAAGGGGAAGCGATGGCGAGAGAGGGGGGAGGGAAATCGAAATCGAGAGGGGGGGGGTGCAAGGGGAAGCGATGGCGAGACCGAGAGGGCGGCGGGGGAGGGGCCGGATTCCCAGATCGGGGCGGGCAGGGGGCCGGATTCCTGGCAAAGGGGGGCCGGAGGGAGGACCGAAGCGCAGAGGGGCAGGCGCGGAGGGAGGTCCAAGGGGGCGGGGGGCGGAGAGAGGCTGGGGGGGGGAAGGCGGCGCTGAGGGCTGGAGCGCCGTGGAATCCGCCAAGCCCTCTGGGCGTAGGTGGTCTAGAACAGATCCTCTTCCACCCCTCCCTCTTCCCCCTTGGGGAGGGGTTTACCCCTCCCCCTACCCCCTCCCCTGGACCTGGACGGAGGGTTCCCCGAGCGGTCGGACGGCTCTTTTGGCCCCAAGATGGCTTCAAGAGCGCGTCAGAGAGCCCAAGATGAGCTCCAAGATGGCTCAAGATAGCGCAAGATCGCTCGAGATGGCTCCTAAGATGGTTCCAAGAGGCCCAAAGACGGCCCCAAGACGGCTCCAAGTGGCCAAAGAGCTCCCCAAGGAGGCCCCGAAGAGGCCAACATCGTCCCAAAACCTTAGGAAAATCAATGTGTTTTGCTTTCTCCCCGTTTCGCTTCCGATGGCCATCCAAGGCCTCAAGATGGCTCCAAGATGGCCCAAGAGGGCCCCACAAGAGGCCCAAGAGAGCCCCAAGACGGCCCCAAGAGCGCCCAAGAGCGCTCCAAGAGCGCCCCAAGAGCGCCCCAAGAGGCGATGTTTGGAGCTCCTGAGGGGGGAGGCTAATTAGGGACCCCCCCTTCGTTGATCGATCTCCTCCAAGATGGCCCCAAGAGCGCCCCTACAGCCCCCAAGAGCGCCCCAAGAGCGCCCCAAGAGGCGCCCAGACGGCCCCAAGAGGCGCCCAAGAGGCCTCCAAGAGGCTCCCAAGAGACCCCCAAGAAGCCTCAAGAAGATCTCCGAAATGCATTTAAGACGCTTCTGGCTCTTCGGTTCGCCGTCCTCTTCAATCCCACCAGCCCTCTGGGCGTAGGTGGTCTAGAACAGATCCTCTTCCACCCCTCCCTCTTCCCCCTTGGGGAGGGGTTTACCCCTCCCCCTACCCCCTCCCCTGGATCTGGACGGAGGGTTCCCCGAGCGGTCGGACGGCTCTTTTGGCCCCAAGATGGCTTCAAGAGCGCGTCAGAGAGCCCAAGATGAGCTCCAAGATGGCTCAAGATAGCGCAAGATCGCTCGAGATGGCTCCTAAGATGGTTCCAAGAGGCCCAAAGACGGCCCCAAGACGGCTCCAAGTGGCCAAAGAGCTCCCGAAGGAGGCCCCGAATAGGCCAACATCGTCCCAAAACCTTAGGAACATCAATGTGTGTTGCTTTCTCCCCGTTTCGCTTCCGATGGCCATCCAAGGCCTCAAGATGGCTCCAAGATGGCCCAAGAGGGCCCCACAAGAGGCCCAAGAGAGCCCCAAGAGCGCCCAAGAGCGCTCCAAGAGCGCCCCAAGAGGCGAGCGATGTTTGGAGCTCCTGAGGGGGGAGGCAAATTAGGGAACCCCCCTTCGTTGATCGATCTCCTCCAAGATGGCCCCAAGAGCGCCCCTACAGCCCCAAAGAACGCCCCAAGAGCGCCCCAAGAGGCGCCCTGACGGCCCCAAGAGGCGCCCAAGAGGCCTCCAAGAGGCTCCCAAGAGACCCCCAAGAAGCCTCAAGAATATCTCCGAAATACATTTAAGACGCTTCTGGCTCTTCGGTTCGCCGTCCTCTTCAATTTATCATCCCCCTCTTCCTCCTCCTCCTCCTTCTCCTCCTTCTCGTCCTTCTCCTCCCTCTGTTCCTTCTCCTCCTTCTCGTCCTCCTCGTCCTCTCCCTACTCCACATCCTCCTCCTCATTCTCCTCCTCCTCCTCCTCCTCCTCCTCTCCTCCCCCTCCCCCTCCGACGAGGATTCCTTCTCCATCCTCCCCCTCTTGGGGTACGTGACAGCTTCTCCCGCCCTTTGTTATTCTGCATGCTCTCCGACTTCCCTGATCACCTCAACTCCCCTGGGCAGCGTTTCTGGATGGGCTGGTGGGGATTTTTTTTACAGCCGCAGGCGGAAGCGCTGGCGGCGAGCAGTCACGGTCGGGTTGCGGCCGCGACTAAATTCCCGGGCGCGCGCAGGGGCCGCGGATCAGGCGGCGGGGGGGGGCAGCAACCCAGGGCGTCTGAGAGGTCAGGCGGTCGTGCAAACTGCAGCCCAGGGAGTCTGTAGGGTCAGCCACCCGAGGCGGTCGTGCAAGCTGTAACCCAAGGAGTCTGAGAGGACAGTCACCCAGGAGCAAGCCGGGCGCGGCCAAAATGGCGCGCCGTACGTTCCCAGCCGTGGTCGTGCCAGGCGACAACCGCGTAGTGGTGGGAACCAAACTCCGTGCGAGAAAGTCAGTCAAGGGAATCTGACGGGTATGAGCAGACCGAAACTGGCTGACGTCGTCCAGCAAGGAGGGGGATTCTGACAGCGCCAGCGAACCGTCGCAGCTTCAAAAAACGCATCCGCGGCAGATCGGGTGTGCCTGAGGCCGAACAGGCAAAGGCAAACGCCGTACTGCTGAAGATGCGCCTGCAGGCAGCAGACCAGCGGTCTGGTATGCCGCAGTGCAGGAGTACACGGGTACCCACCGTAGGGACACACGGCCAATCGGAGGGAAGCGTGCACCAGGCGACTAAGTGACAGCAGCGCCAAGCGACCCACGCCGCCAGGTCGAGGAAAGCGCTCGAAGGACAGCAACTGTCGTATACCCAAGACAGCAAGTCCTTCACGGTCACAGAGTCCCAGGGAGGATCGCACAACTAAATGCGCGTGGGAGCAACGAAGAAGGACCGAGTGCCCGTCATACGCCGAGACCGTGCAGCGCAGTCCACAGGGTGGTAACGCAACGCAGCGGTGGAAGGCGGCGCTGATCGGGGTCACGTCATCGGCCCAGTCGGTGTAGGGCGCAAAGGGACCAGGTGGGCATTCCGCCAGCATGGCGGGGCGACCCACGACGATGGCAGCCTGACCTCCGAGTCCCGCGTCGCTCCCAGGAGAGGTAGAGATCACGGCTGAAGGCCGTAGTAACTTGAAGAGCCCAGGGAGTAGAGGCGCAGAACTGGGGACGGGGCGAAAACCACCGGGTCGTCAGCCACAGAGCTGCGCGCCAGGCAGGGCCTGGCAGGTGAAAACAGCTACAGTGGGGTCAGGGGCCACTATGGCCACACGCATCCCGAGATTGCAATGTGGACGGTATTGCTGGCACACACACTTGGATCCAAAGGCAGGAAGTGCGCGTACCAGGAGGGGCGGCAAGATGCCGCAAGCTGGGTCTGTAGTCCAAGGGGCGGCTGAAGGCCGTTGTCTGATTGAGAGACCCAGGGTTTAAAGCACGTCTCGGGAGTGGGCCTCGGTCGGTCCTGAAGCAGCTTAGCCGAGCACAGGACCGTTCGGGCCACTGGTGAGCACCACTACAGCGTGGCCAGGGGCCAACTAGGGTCTGCGCGCTACGCTCCCCCGCGCAGCGAAGCAGATGGTATTGCTGGTCGACACACTTGGGTCCAAAGGCAGGAAGTGTGTGAACCAGGGAGGGAGGCAGCGAGGCTGCCACACGGTTGAGAGAGAACGGAAGGCAGCTGAAGGCCGCACATAGTGTGTAGTAAGATTGACATTTCTGGCTGTCTAGGTGCTGGATGGATGGGAAAAGGGAGCTCATTATCCCCATCGGTGCCTCTTTTCGCCTCGCTCGTCAGGTCTGCCTCCACCACGCTTGCCTCCCGTCTGCCAACGGTCGTCGTGCCAGGCGTCACTCCAGTCGCTCTGCCAGGTGCCCCAGGTACCCCAGGAGCTTGCCGCACGGTCTCGCCAGCTGCTCTGCTGGAGGTTGCCTTTGCCCTTGCCGTCGGATCGGGTGTGACGCAGGTACTCGGCCCGCAGCTTGGCCCAATCAATGCGGTAGTTGTACCTCGTGTCCATCAAGTAGGCGTTGTGCCCGCAGCCCTTCCAGTCGTCCAAAAACTTGTTGATGGTCGCTTCCGTTTGCAGCCTCGGGTCTGATTTGGCCCCCCTGGATCCAGGGAGCAAAATGCGCTGCGTGTAGGCAGTCCACAGCGCGCAGAATACTGCGCCCAACTCCGACTGGTACCTGGCGAGGCGTTTGGCGGGTGGCTCATCTCGACGCTCCAAGCCCACTGTGCCAAGCCAGACCTTGTACATGGGGCCCCCGTGTGAGTCGGTCAACAGGTTGAGCGTGTGGCGCTCCGTTGAACGAGGGTAGGTAGGTCTGTGTCCAGGGGCCTGTGGGTTGCGTAGTGGGGGACGACGGCTCCGCGCGTCACCCCTGTCGCGGGCGTTGTCATCATAATCAGATCCCCTGGCTTCACTGGCATCTTGGCCGGCGCTAACCGGGCCACCCCCGGTAGCAATCGGGTCACGGTCGGAGCTGGGTTCCGAGCTGTCTGCCGCTGGGCTCTGCTGAGGCGCCTTGTCGCCTGGGCCGTTGTCGTCGACCTCCGTGGCAGAGTCCGAGCAGGATACAGGAGGAGGAGACTCGCGGGGTTCTCCAAAGTCGGGTGACTCCACTTTCTCCGTAGGAGGGATCACGTCTTCACCGCTCTCGTCCTTGACAGTGTGGTCGGGCGGGTCCGGGAGACCCAGACGCGAGTCGTCGTCTCTCGTACCCAGGGACTTGTCTGCGTCGGCCGCCGTAAGGGAACCAGGTCTGTCCTCACTCATGGTCTGCACGTGTGACTCGGCCAAGGAAGTGATGGTCGTCGAGGCGAGGGCATCGGCGCTGAGGCTGAGTAGGAAACTCGTCAGTGTGCCAATTTCGTGTCTGATGGGACTGAGACCACTCGCCGGGGCCAGGATCGAGGCGTGCCTCTCCCAGGATTCCTTGTGCTTCTCGCCGTTGGTGAGGTGGGCGACGGCTCGCGCCGCGGCCAGCCGTTTACCCTCCCAGCGCTGGTTGAGC